CGAGTTCTGTTCGTCGCCTGACGATTGCATCTAGCATGAAACAGACTGTTTCTCTAAGTGTTGATTTCTATGTTCACTTTTAAATCTACACACGCTCTATCTCTGGTATTGAGCACTTTATCCCATAAATATAGCACATCTTAAGACGATATTTCTTCATATATATATATATATATATATATATATATATATATATATATATAACTCGCCATGAGCTTATTCAATCATTAGCTTAGGAATTAAGATTCATAAGAATATAAATTTTCACGAGTTAAAACTAGTGAATAATAATAATTAGTATTCATATATATATATATATCTTAATTCAATAATAATTAATATTCATATATATATATATATATATATATATATATATATGAATACTAATTATTATTATTCACTAGTTTTAACTCGTGAAAATTTATATTCTTATGAATCTTAATTCCTAAGCTAATGATTGAATAAGCTCATGGCGAGTTCTACGGCAATAAAATATCCGTAGAAATTCCCCTATTGCATCGTTAAATATTTGAGCTTAACAATTTTAGCAAAATATTACAATAACAATCATAAAAATGAATGCTGGTCATTATTTTAAGAAGTGGGTACAAATGAAAAGATTTGAAATTGACACCTTTTTCAATTTCACTGAATGTCTATCTATCTACCTTTCTTTCATTCATTCATTTTCTGAAACTAAGTAGTGTATGTCACTTCTTAAGAAGAGACATACATTATTTATTTAAGCTCATATTAACATGGGAAATAATAAGTAATAGTAAGCCCATGATGGTAAACATTTCTGGATATATATGTGCAAACTTTTATTTTTTACAAAAATATATAAAAATTTGGGAAGTGTGTTGGAATATTTACAATGATATGCAAGAGATGGGGTTGAACCCATTAATCAAATAAAAAGATAAACTAAGCATTTAAAAGGAATTAAATCTGTGTTAGTGAGGTCCCGTCCAATCCACAACAATGACAATGGCCGCTGTATTCTGCCGATAAACAGAATTAAGTAACTCACTCGGTAGTGGCATTTGGTAAACGACGGATGATGGTTATAAAATGTCTAGGAGCTCTGATTAACATGGTAAATAATAAAATAATAATATACCCGGGTATATGGGATATTTTATTATTATACCCGGGTATATGGGATATTTTATTATTATACCCGGGTATATGGGATATTTTATTATTATACCCGGGTATAGTGGATATTTTATTATTATACCCGGGTATATGGGATATTTTATTAAATCGAATATAAGTTTCTGTAGACGAATCGTTTTGTCAGTTGTATTTTAATTGTCGCCGACTTCCCTACAAACAAATTATTATCAACAAGAAATAACCGTAAAAATTTCACTGTTTTTTTTTTTTTTTTTTTTGAATTTTCTGATGAATCTTAATTCTTCAGTTGATAAGTGAATAAGCTCATGGCGATTTCTACGACAATAAAAAAATCCGTAGAAATTCCCCTATCGTATCGTTACATATTTGAGCTTAACAACTTTAACAAAATATTGCAATAACAATCATAAATATGAATGCAGGTCGTTATTTTTTAAGAAGTGAAGGGATACAAATGAAAAGATTTGAAATTGACAACTTTTTCCATTTCATTGAAACAACTATTAAATTCTTTCTTTCTTCAATTGACACCATGTGGCGTCTTTTTTCCTCTTCCCATGCGATCAAAACGGAACAGTACATTATTTACGAGGTATTGGTAGAGCGTGACGGTCGTGCTAACTAACGATGGGCGGGAAAAGGACAATTGTTGATAAAAGCACAAACACTATAGGATATTGTTCTTTTATATATTGGCCTTTTCTATTTTAGATATAGCTGAAATTTAACACACGCAAACACACACACACACACACACACACATATATATATATATATATATATATATATATTCATTAAATACGAGAGACAAGGTGCTTTGATTTATTTTTTTTATACAATTTCTCAATAAGAAGTAGTTTGTTGCATATATATATTTATATAATGTTACCATTTTTTTTTCAAAACACGGTCAAGACATTTCTTATTTAACAGTTAAAATATTTCATCCTTGAAAATGGCTAAATGTATAGCCGAAAGTGCTCGGATAAAAAGAACATTCGGACAGTTTTTATATAATTTATCATCTGAAAAGAAAAAGAAATTATTAGAACATATGAGAAATTGTATTAAAAAATTAAATCAAAGCACCTTGTGTGTCGTATTCAATGAAATGTGCATGAAAGAAGGATTTCTGCCAAAATAGACAAATTTTTTATATATATATATATATATATATATATATATATATATATATATATATAGTGTGTGTGTGTGTGTGTGCTTGTGTGTATATATATGTGTGTGTATATATATATATATATATATATGCGTGCATATATATATATGTGTGTATATATATATATATATATATATATATATATATATATATATATATATATCAATAAAAATGACAATAGGAAAACTGTTAATTGCTGACGCGTTTCGTCCAATGTGGACTTTATCAAAGCAAAATACGATCGTATTTTGCTTTGATAAAGTCCACATTGGACGAAACGTGTCAGCAATTACTAGTTTTTCTATTGTCATTTTTATTCATAAATATTGTCTTCTCTACTGGTTAAATCGGAGAAATTTATATATATATATATATATATATATATATATATATATATATATATATATATATATATATATATAGTTGCTTTTACTCATTTCCAATAATGATAAACAAATTTCTAAATAACACAACTTTTATTTAACCATAGTACAATTATAATTTCAATACAATAGTTACATTTTAAATCATTTAGTAAGTTATGTTCATTATTATTGGATATGGCCATCTCTCTCTCTCTCACACACTCTCTCTCTCTCTCTCTCGCTTGTCGTATGCATATATATATATATATATATATATATATATATATATATATATATATATTATTATTATATAAACGTGTTTAAAATAACATTCCTATTATTTTAAAAGGGAAAACAAAGTCAACTGGCCGATAGATTGAAAGACTGAAATTTACTTTTTCCATCATAGAAGACACCACTTTAACCGAAATGTGTTCTACTAATTCGGCCACGGGTACCCATTATGATAAACTATGGCCCCTTTCCCTATTTAAGGAATGCACACCGGTCGTTAGGATCTATCGAACTTTCACGCTTAGCGATTTTTCAAAATGGATCACTGTTTTCTCATAGCGTTTCTTAGGCGTACTGTCCTTTTCATGTTATAACATTCAAGCATGTTTTTGTAATGAGTATTGAAAAATTTATCAAAGAACCTAAAGTAGAGCACTCTTATATACGTAAGAATAGTGAGGTTGGTTATATTCTACGGGTGTCGAATAAATCATTTTATGCCAGTTCAATTTAAGTTTATTTGTGTATCGATATCAAAATGAAACACGTATAGATATTGAACAACATGGGAAGTGCTTTAACAGAGAGCGACAACGTGACAAAAAAATGAAGGCATCCCGGAATAGGGAAAGATGCCTTCCAAAAAGCTAGACAAAGTATTAAGAAATGGGAAAATTTCATTAGAAACATAGAAAATGGTACCGACCTGTCATGTCATGCCAGCCCTCCCAATATGGTATTGAATGTGGGACAATTCCCTCACAGTTTCCTCGCAGATTAAGATGGGATTTGAAGCAAATATGTGCTATATATATATATATATATATATATATATATATATATATATATATATATATATATATATATATATATATTGGCAAGTTCGAATCTCACCATCGTTGATTTGTCAGGGAAGTGACTTCTTGGTAATAATGGTAACTTTAGAAAGTTGCCAAAGAACTATAGCACGAGTTGATACAAGCCTTAAACCATTTAATTGTGAGTGAAAATGGCTAGACAGTAATGTTTAAAAGACCTGAAGGTGGATGTGCTAGCACGTAGTCACAAGTCGTCGTGACCGAGTGTTTGAGAGTGCTGGCATTGTTCAAAAAACTGATCATGCCAGATTTCTCTCTCTCTCTCTCTCTCTCTCTCTCTCTCTCTCTCTCTCTCTCTCTCTCTCTCTCTCTCTCTCTCTCTCTCTCTCTCTCTCTCTCTCTCAGAAATTGCGACTAAGTTCCGTTCAGCATAGATGCATTATAAATCGACTCTGAAATGGGGCTGAGCTGGCGTCATCATAAGGGATTTGCTAGCTGCCTTGGCAGGCGGGTGTGCTCGGAATCGAATAGTAATTAAACATAAAGATATAAAATGTAGATTTCAGCTTATAATTTCTGTTTTCTTTTTATGCATGATATTTTATTAATTCAACTTGAGGGATCTTCAAAATCTTTATAAATAAACATATATAATAATTTATTTATTAATTTATTTATTAATTTATTTATTAATCGTTGCATTTTTAAATGTCAGATCCATAATGCTTTTCATGTGTCGTAAGAAAGATTAAATCATCAAAAGGGAAACATGAAAGTTATTGATTTGATTTTTACGGTTTATCAACCCCTAGCGAATTATTAAAATCCAGAAAATATTTTTAGAGTGTAAGAATATTTTGGAGATACTAATAATTTACTGATACGACCTGCTAATTAACCCAAGAGTTCAGTTCGTACCTTTTCCAAAGATATTTGCGTGTAAAATGAATTTGAATTATCACAGAAATAAATGACAGGTTCAATGCCGACCACCCTGGGTATGAACACCTAAGTGACCAAAATTATTGGCTTATTAAATTTTGCAGGTTATTTAAAGCCATCAAATAGTTTTAGATTGTAAAAGAATTTTTGGAGATAATAATGATTTTCATTGATTCAAGTCCCACTAATTAACCCATAACTGGGGGGAAACGAATTCGTACCTTTCCCAAAAGGTATTTGAGCGTAAATGTATATAACGAACCAACTGGAATTAGAACTCGGCTCGCCGATCTCCAGTTCTCACCACCGGCACATCCAAGCGTACACCACCTGGTATTCCCAAGCGGTCACTCATCTAGGTAGTGACCTGGCTCAGCGTTGCTTAAATTCGGTGTTCGTACGAGAACCGATGTTTCGAAGGGATATGGCCGCAAGCCTCTTATTGAGTTATAGGTACAAAATGCTGGTTAATGTGAAAAAGAGGACAGACATGACACAACGATAAAACAAAAAAATGTAATTAGAAACATTGTTAAAAGAAGGGCAAAAACTGACGCTAGGAATGTCACAAAAAAGATGTGAAAAAATATTAAAGGTTAATAAACAAGAAAAGTAGATTAACGAGCATGAAAATATTTAAACAATCTGTTATTGTGAACGGGGCGTAAACAGAGAAAACATTAACATTAGCTTAAGTCGTGAAAGCAACTAAACTATGAATTTTAAGTTAACACAACAAATTTGAACGTGTGCGTTAGATGAAGGTGTTTATAAAAAAATTGTTTCTTAGGGTTATTTTTTGTAATGTATAGTTATTTTCCAAGCGTAGCAAAAAGCCTAAAGTATGGGGCACCTTGTGAAGATCGAGCTCACTTTTCAGTCGTAACTGATCTAGCGAGACGAGCTTGCTAATCGTTACACCATGCAGAAGTGCTCATGGCAAAAAGATTCTCCACTTTTCAGTCGTAAGATCTAGCGAGAGATGCTAATCGTTACACCAAAAAGATTCTCCTAAAGTATAGGGGCACCTTGTGAGGATCGAGCTCACTTTTCAGTCGTAACTGATCTAGCGAGACGAGCTTGCTAATCGTTACACCATGCAGAAGTGCTCATAAGATTCTCCAAGCGTAGCTTAGATGTGGCAAAAAGCCTAAAGTATGGGGCACCTTGTGAGGATCGAGCTCACTTTTCAGTCGTAACTGATCTAGCGAGACGAGCTTGCTAATCGTTACACCATGCAGAAGTGCTCATAAGATTCTCCAAGCGTAGCTTAGATGTGGCAAAAAGCCTAAAGTATGGGGCACCTTGTGAGGATCGAGCTCACTTTTCAGTCGTAACTGATCTAGCGAGACGAGCTTGCTAATCGTTACACCATGCAGAAGTGCTCATAAGATTCTCCAAGCGTAGCTTAGATGTTGCACAAGGCCGAAAGTAGGAGCACCTTGTGAGGATCGAGCTCACTTTTCAGTCGTAACTGATCTAGCGAGACGACCTTGCTAACCATTACACCACGCCGAGGTGCCCCTAAGAGTTTCCAAGCATACCTTATATTGGGGCACAAGCCCGAAAGTATGGGCCACCTAGTGAGGATCGAGCTCACTTTTCAGTCGTAACTGATCTAGCGAGACGACATTGCTAACCATTACACCACGCCGAGGTGCCCCTAAGATTTTCCAAGCGTATCTTAGATGTTGCACAAGGCCGAAAGTAGGGTCACCTAGTGAGGATCGCGCTCATTTTACATTCGTAACTGATCTAGCGAGACGACCTTGCTAACCATTACACCACGCCGAGGTGCCCCTAAGATTTTCCAAGCGTAGCTTAGATGTGGCACAAGGCCGAACGTATGGGGCACCTTGTGAGAATCGAGCTCACTTTTCAGTCGTAACTGATCTAGCAAGACAAAATTGTTAACCATTACACCGCCTCGAGGTGCCCCTTTCCTTTCCTTTTTTTTTTCTTCTTTTCTTTTATAATGTATAGAGAATGACAATGGATAAACCTGATGACCGAGCGAGTAGAAAGCTAACCAAGAAGACAACAGCTGTGAAGTTGGATGGATGTTTTGGTCAGGTATTCTTGGCAGTGTCCCTTCAAAATTGATGATGGTGTCAACATCAATGCAGAGAATTATAAGTTTCTAGACAAGACATTTTTAAAGCAGTTTACAAGGAGGATGCGAAAGTAGTGTCACCCCCCTACCAAAATGTAATGAGAACAATAGAAAAATAAATCATACAGTAATACAAAGCAAATGTACTGGATTCAGTTTATTCACTCTCATTGACTCTCTTACACATCGAGAAGTTCTGTATAGACACTGTAATTTTCATGGCCCAAAATGATGCGGCGCCATGTCCTGTGTGATATTTTATGAAGCTGTGCTTTGTTGATTGTTGCAAAGGTTCTCCGACCGGCGTCCTTTAACTGATGTGTAATCTGGTATTGTTCATGTGAAACTCTCTCCTTGATAATACCCCACAAAGCGTTGTTATATTATATAGGGGTGACAACGCTTTCGGTCCACCATATATATATAATTATTTATTTAAAAATATGATTCCAATACGCTACATAAGAGTTCTCGTGTTTCAAAACAAGAGACGAAAACTTCAATATATGAGAACTCTTATGTACCGTGTTGGGATCATATTTTTAAATAAATAATTATATTTATGCTCTACTTTTGTATCGAGCACTATTTTTTATAAAATAAGAAGAAAAATACTAAAGAACTTTGAATTATTTACCTAACGAGTTCTTTCCTATTTTCTATATATACACACACACACACACACACACACACACACACACACACACATATATATATATATATATATATATATATATATATATATATATATATATATATATATATATGAACTAATGGAACTAATGTCTTTAATTTAATTGCAAAATTAAATTCGTGGCTTTTAGCTTCCATTTTTGAAACATGATTAGAACTGTGTAGCGGAAAAAACATATTTTATATAAATTAATTTATAATATATATATATATATATATATATATATATATATATATATATATATATATATATATATATATAAATTAGATTTGCTTTTATATCCTGTCAGGTTAAACGTAATTACATCACGAATGCTCTAATATACAGGCTGGTCCTAAAGTCTTTATCACCCCTTATGTAAAAGGACTGAGAACAATAGAAGAACAAGCAATACAATAATACAAAGTACATGTATTGGATTCAGTCTCTTCACTTTCATTGACGCTGTCACACATCGAGAAGGTCTGTATGAACACGATCAAATTCATGGCACAAAATGATGCGGCGCCCTATACTATGTGATATGTTACGAAGCCGTGCTTTGTTGATTGCCGGAAAGGTTCTCCCATCGGCGTCCTTTAACCGATAGGTATTCTGGTATCGTTCATGTGAAACTCTCTCTTTGATTATACCCCACAGTGTTTTGAAATAGAAAATTATATTATGTATGGGTGACAGTACTTTCGGATCACCCTGAAGTTCAGCGGTTACCAATTTTCTTTTTTCTTTTTTTTGTTTTGCGCCACGGACCGGATATTATGCAAGACAATTTTCCCACAGAACGGCGATAGGGGGTGGTTTCAGTCACGAACATAGCAAAACACAATAAATAAGACCGCGATAGTCAATAAAATGGAGAAATAAAAATGATTTTTTTTCTTTCTGTACGGCCCGGTTTCATATGGTCCACGGCCCGGTAGTAAATGTTCCACGCTCTGGTATCGGCCGCCACCCGATGATAGGTGACCGCTGGTCTAGGTCACAACCAAGAACCTTTTAGGCTAAAGAATGTATTCATATGAAGCTATTTCAAAGACACCGATTTAATAGAATAATCCCAGTCTCTCCAAACATTAATCCGATAGAAAACATGGTTCATCATTAAACAAGATTTATACGAGAATAAAACACAAAAGTAAGGCAAAGAAAAATTCTGAGAAATGGTAAAATCTTCTGGAAGTCGGAACAGTTAAATAATCGTGTTCTTTATGCGCTGGACCCCTCAGGACGTAGGTGATCATGGCTCTTCACAACTTCCTGTCCTTTGTAGCTCTTAATGAATTTCGTCTTTCTGCTCTTTCTCCTAAAATCTGTTCCGCCATCCATCCATTGAATCTCACTAAGTATGTTATGCGTTGATTTTCTCTGTATTTTCTTCAATCTGTCTTGTGAGTATCAGATTTTCCAAGCACTCTTTCCTCATTATATGCCAGAGAAATTTCAACTGTCTCTTCATGATGTTAAGTATGACATTGCTTTTTTTTTTGGGGGGGGGTCCATTTTTCACGTGTTCGCTTTATGATATCCTCAGTGTCCTTCTGTAGAACATTTCTGTAACTTCAAATTTCTTCCTCTCCCTTAAGGAGATTATCCAGCACTCCCTGCCATACAGGAGGACAGATATCACATAACAGATTAGTACTCTTTTTCTTGTTTTTTTTTTTATTTATTATTTCGTAATACTCTGCTTAGCTTTTGGATTGCATCTTTGGCTATCCCAATACGCCTTCGGATTTCAGTTTTTCGTGAGGCACGGTGGAGTAATGGATAACGGCTCGGATTGAGAAATCGGAGAGTCGAGTCGAATCCATTACAGTCACTTACATGCTAATACCCTTGGGAAAGGTATGAATCCTCTTCTTCTCCCTCCCAGCTATGAGAAAATAGCAGGACAGACCGGGTTCTATAGCCTTGGATGGCAACTGGTCAACTGCAAAAAAAATGGCAACCTACTGCAGGAAAAAAATCTGCCTCGCCAGTCATGTATCTTTCGATACATGATCGCCTAAGTGTGTATCACCCATGGCACATGGCTGACTGACTGATTTCGGTTCTCTGCTAGATATTCCTAGATATTTTTGTATTTGTTTGATAAAGGATAAAAGATTAATAAGATTAATAATGCCGGTTACATAATATCAAAGTGCCTGTATAAAGGCGTACAATAAAATGTTAATCGAATATATGTTTTTGCAGCTTATATTTCTTTACATATAAAATTTATATTGCCTTTTGTATAATAAAAGGTCAATTTAATACGCCATTTTTTTATGTTTAACGTTTAGTTGTCAACAATTATCTCCCTTAGCCTTGCGACACAATGTGACGTATTTTGTGTACAGTTATCTCCCTTGCAATGTCGACACCAGCATTTCTTTTATCTGTAGGTGTACTGGCGATACATCGTGACAATATCTTTGCTCTGAAAATGGCGGATTATTTTGGGAGATGAAAAAATGACTCAGCCAAAGAGAAAAGTCGTCGTTTATGTCACATTTTTCTTTTCTATTTTAAACTAAAATTCAACCTCCACCACCTGCCAGTATCTCATAGATAATGGACTATTTTATTTTGATTGTATTCCAAGTGGTGGAGGAAAAGAAAGGAAGTCATCCAATATGGCAGTGT